CATGAAGGAGACCCTGGCTGCAGCCATACAAGCGAAGAACCAAACCATCACCAGAGGTGGCTTCACACCATATCAGATGGTATATGGCAGAGCTCCCATCTTTCCAGATTTGCTGGACGAAGACACCACAGGCAATTTGGCCTTGAGGGAGTCACTGAGCACCGAAGGAGAAGTGGCAAGAAGTGCAGAGATGAGGGCAGCAGCAAAGATCTCACTTCTTCGGCAAGATTGTCAAGATAAGCTGAAGAGGGCACTCCGACGCTGGCCAAGGGGGGAGATTAAAGAGTTCACGCCAGGAGAGATGGTCTTCTTCTACTCTCCTCAACCTACTGCCAGAAGATTCAAAAGAGAAGGAGGAGCATGGCGTGGCCCAGCAGTTGTCTTGATGAAAGAAAGCTCTGAACGCTACTACATCAGTTGGAGGGGAAGATGCCTTTTGGTTTCGGCTTCCAACTTACGAACATGTTCATCACTTGAAGGGGGCGACTTCAAAGGCCGCATGGAGGAGGTTCAGAACTTGGGAAACCAGTGGGAAGAAGACAAGGACAAAGACTATGATGACCTCACACAAGCTCCCAAACCTCCGGAAGAAGGAGAAAAACAAGAAGAAGTCGGTTGGCAGCCCCAGGAAGAGGTGATAGTGCAGAAGAGAGGAGGTTGGAAGAAGAGCAGAGCCAAGGAGATTGCCCAGAGCCTCAGAGGTATGAGGAAAGTTCAGAAGACGATCGCCAAGGAGAAAGCAAGAGTTCCAAAGATCAAGCTCACCGGAAAAGGAGAGAAGTCAAGTGCAGCCAAAGGCACGAAGGAGGATGAGATTGAGATAAGAATTGAGGAGGAAGAACCGATGAAGCAGAAGATGAAGGAAATTGAAGAGCAGCTCAGGCAAGAGATAGAAAGGCAGATAGGCCGAAATGATAGTGAAGGATTCAAGAAGAGGCTGAGAGAACACCTTCAAGATGATGTTCCATGGGGCTTCAAGCAGCGAAGAATGGAAGAGCCCCTCAAAACCGGATTGACTGAAGAAGAATTGACACAAAGGTTCAGTCCGGAGGTCATGCACTTCAGCATGCTGAGTTTGGTTGCAGAAGGCAGCAGGGCCAATGAGTGGGCATCACGAAAGGAGGTGGAAAAGATGGGCCAGTTGCTAGATCTTCCCATCACAAGTATGAGATATCACCTGAGGCCCAGGAAGCGCTTTCAGAAGCCCACCAAAGAGAAGAGAGGACGCATCACCTTGATGTTTGGAGAAGAAAGTGGCACAGCAATCGTGTGTCAGGAGGATAGTGAGGAGGTGAAGATGCGCCCTAAGAGAAAGGCCCCACACGAGTGGCGAGGAGTCACCTTCTTTGTAAAGGAAGAAAAGATGAAAGTCAACAAAGAAGGTAAAGTTTTGGTGGAGCTTCCTCATGGCGTGTATGAGGTGGCCGTGGATGATGTCAAAGAATGGAGGAGGCTGAGAAGGGAAGAAGAAAACCAGCAAGCTTTTCGAGAAGCTTTCTTGTTGGTCAACAAAGCCAACGGGAAGGAGTTGGACCCACGTCATTTTGACAAACAAGAGAAAGAAGCCTTCAAAGAGAGTGATCGAAAAGAATGGACTTCCTGGATTGACAATAAAGTTGTCAGGAGGCTGAGTGATGAAGAAATCAAGGAGCTCAATCTCAATGATGTCTTTCGTGCTCCGGCCCGTCTTTTGCGGGTCAACAAAGGTGCGCTACATGGCACTTTCCAGCCCAAGTCGAGGCTGATCATTCCAGGGCACCTTGATCCTCATTTGGGATCATTTAGATCCGATGCACCAACCACCACTTGGGCAGCTGTCCAGATGACCAAGATCATTGCATTGACAAGAGGATGGGCAGCCGCCTGCTTCGACGTGAGCACAGCTTTCCTTTCTGGCAAGCAAGTTGAAAGGAAGGTGGTTATCAAAGCACCACCGGAAGGGCTTCCAAGTGTTCGAGATGAACCACCCATCAAGCCCTTTGAGTTGCTGCTCTTGTGCAAGTCAGCTTACGGGCTGTCCGAAGCCCCAAGGCTTTGGTACCTGAGAGCAAAAGAGCTCTTGGAGGAACTTGGATTTGTGGAGTTGGAGTTGTGCAGGGCCACGTTCATTATGAAGGAGAAAGATGAAGTGACTGCCATTTTGTGCCTTCACGTCGATGATGGATTTTTGTCACCGACCCTCACAAGATGAAGAAGGCACAGGAAAGCATTAGCTCCAAGTTCATTATCAAAGAGTGGCAAAACCTGAGTGATGCTCCCATCACATTTTTGGGAGTGAACACCTCACGGCAGGAGAACAAGTTCGTAGATGATATGACAGAGTATGTCGAGAAGATCCAACCTGCCGAGGTGACAACTGGGAAAGAAGTGGCTCTGGAAGGAGCTCAGTTGTCAGCATACCGTCGCTTGGTGATGCAGTTGAGGTGGCCATCCCACTTGGTGATGCCAGAGTTCCTCTACAGGGTGAGCGCCCTGTCACAGAATGTGGCAAAAGCAAAAGGGAAAGATCTTGTTCAGGCCAACAGTCTTTTGAGCCTGATGAAAGCAGCCGCAGCCAAAGGTGAAGCCAAGAACGTGTTGCACCCAATTCATGGAGAACCTCTGTTTGTGTCGTATTTTGACGCTTCCCTCGGAAAGACGGAGAGCATGTGTGCACAGCAAGCTGAGGTTCATTTTTTGACAAGTAAGACTGTGGAGATCAAGCCGACAGTTTCGAGCATGTTGGAATTCCACAGCAGTAAGGTGCACAGAGTCGTGAGATCCTCTTTAGCAGCAGAAGCATGCGCCATGACTTCAGCTGCAGACAGGATCATGTTCAACAGGACCTTGTTTGATGCCCTTTTCCATGGATGCTCCGAGATTTCTCCAAAGTGGCGCACGGAGCTCCGAGTGGGAGGCATCATCATCACGGACGCCAAAGGCCTCAACGATCATGTCAACAAGACTGGAAGTATCGCCAGTGAGAAGCAGGCAGCTTTGGATATGATGATGGTAAAAAGGCTTGTTGAAGATTCTGTGCTTCGCTTGCGTTGGGTACCAACCTGGAAACAGGTTGCTGATCCTTTGACAAAAGATATGGCTACAGACTTGCTGCAGCGGTTCAGGACCAATGGTCGTTTGTGCTTGGTCGAGACGCAGCAAGATCGAGAAGAAGAACAGCGGAGAGCAGGGATCAGGAAGGCCCAACGAGAGCGCAGAAAGCAGAGAATGGCAACAACAAGGAAACATGTCCTTTTTGGGATGTGATTGATGCAGTGGTGAGCTTTCCTTGTGGTTGCTTGTGGACACTTTAGCATGGTGATTCATTTCACTTACCGCCGCCTTTACATAGGCATCGATGTCAGCACAGCAAAACAGCGCTTGGCAGCATTTGCTTTCGCTTTGTCGTGTTGCATACACGTTCGGTTTCTTGTGCGCCTTTGTTTTCACGTGGTTGCACTCACATCTTGGTTTGTGGGAGTGGCGCCCCAGCATATTGCACAAAAACTAGAAAGAAAGAAAACCGTTTCATAAGAATGGCGAGGCACACTTGGTCCAATGCTTTGGAAGGCATTGAGGCAAAGTCCACAGGCTGAGAATGTTTGCGAGTCGAGGACACCTGCCATCTCAATAGGATGAACTGGTGGAAAAGGACAAAAGATTTGCAAAAAACATGTACAAAATAGTTGGAAACAGGGAGAAAGAAAAGGAACATGGCCACCAAATAGAGGGGGTGGGTGACTACACAACCACCCATTAAATGGGTCTCAATAAGAGGAAAATAGGTGGAGAAGGACAGAGTACAACCTCATACAACCTCTGTAATGAATTTATTAAGGGGGTGGGTGACTACACAACCACCCGTTAAATGGCGCCAACAGGAGACAAAGGTGGAAAAGGACAGAACAAACAGCAAGGAAACAGGGGAAGAGGAAGAGAGATTGGAAAAAGAACATGTGCAAATCCGCTGGGTTTTTGAAGATTTGGTTAAACATAGCCAGGTAGAACCGGCATAAAGAAACATCAGCGGCTTAGGGGTTCATGTTAGCCAGGTAGAGCCGGACGGTAAGACTGTAGCCGCAGGCAGCAGCATCAGACCACACTTTTTCCCAGCTCTTCCCATGATCAAGCTGAGTAGATGCAGGGCTGCCACGGCGCCCCGGTCTGTATGACATTTAGCGACGCGAACATGGCCACCAAACCCGTTAAATGGGGGCGGTGATTACACAATCACCCGTTGAATGGGCCTCAATAGGAGGAAAAGGTGGAAAAGGACAGAGCCAAACCCATATATATATATATAATGAAATTATTTGAAAGGGGTGGGTGAGTACACAACCACCCAGTACCTTTGCGCGTTTGAAGAAAAGGAGAGCTAGAACATGGCACCTTTTTGCTTGCTGTTGGATCTTGGAACCGTAGATTATTTGAAGGGTGGTTGACTACTCAGCTACCTATTGTGACACTGTCCGTGGTAATCCGAGCTGAGTCAACTTTGGTCAACTTATGGAGGGTGGGTCCCACCTAGGTGGTCTCATGTTGGATCTATGTTGGACATTCTTATGAAAACCTGTAAATTATTTCACACACTCTGAGAGTCTAGAAATGATTTCATGCGGCTATCTCCATCCACCTCAAAATAATAGAATATTATATTGAGGTGGGTGGTACGGTGGGCCCAAAACATGGTACATAAGCTTCCCCCGCCGCTCGCCAGGGCGGGGGGGACTTTCCTTGAAGAAGCACGAGCTCTCCTGAGTCCACTCGGTAGTAGCTACTGGTAGGTACTAGCTACCTGGCTACTGTCGCGGCCTACCCCCCCCCAGCGCGTGCGCGAAAAAGCCAATAGCTAGCTACTCTTACCTCCATAGCTACTACCTCTACCTCTCTATGCCTACCACCCCACAACAAAAACTTAAAACGTCAATTAAGAACGAATTAACAAACAAACAAAGTAGAAAAACTACTTGTAGCTCCTAGAAGCATCTCTAGGTCACCAGTCCTCTCCTCTTCGGCCACAGGAGGCCAACTACTCTCTGGCGGCGAATACTCCGAAGGAGTCCTTCACACACGTCCTCCTGTACCTCAGGCGGTCGATTGTATCTAGTAGTACCTCCTAGTAGCGATGCCCTTGAAACCCTAGTAGCTTCTTGTTCCTCGAGCAATCTGAACGTGCCCCCGGTGTTCGTTTTGCAGTTCCTCTCTTCACAGCCATGCAACACCCGGACTCAGGCCCCAATCTAGGCTGAATCTTCACACTTCTCATCACTCAAATAGCCTTCCTACTAGTAGTACTTGTTGTGCTTGTGGATGACATTTGGGGCTCTTTCGCTGCGTGGGCAACCTTTTCTGATGCAGGTCGATCTTGGCGGAGCAGTCCACACCAGCCACACATCTTATCTATGATGCATCAGCGAGTGTGACTGGCGTGGCATTTCAGGCGGGTGCAGCACTCGAATAGATGAGAAAGGACATTGACCTTGAACAGACCCAGGATGTATGTCTCACGTAGATGCACGTCGTAAGTTTGGATGATGGGCTTAGTTCTGAAGGACTTGGACCTGGATCTCTACGAGTTGGGCGGTGAAGTCCAGTGGCAAGCACCCAGCTCTATGCGAGTTCAGGCAAACCGACCGAACTGAATACGTAGGCTGACAGCCACCATGTTGCTGGTCAGGATGTACAAAGACACAGAACCTTCCAAAGGGAAACTGCTTGAATGATACCGAATGATACGAAATGGTTCCAAATGCCAGTTGTTTGCAGCAAGGACTACCTCCTCTACCTCTACGGGTCTTCTGGCAGGTCACAGGCGCCTTGACCCCACCTATGGAGAAAGCGCTTGAACATGTGGCGATTGAAATCATGTGGGTAGCTAGGTGACAGTGTCATGGCCAGTAGGTGATTCCCTGCTGATTTGGGTAAGGTTGGTGCGGTTGCCCCCTTTGGCACCAATGCGATCGTTGTTCCCAGCAATACTTTGCCGCTTGCGCTCCAAATTAATGACAATCAATGCCAGTTCCAGCTTTTCTGGTATGCCTGACACTTCCTTGATTCGTTTGGTTCCTTTCAGTGTGACATCTCTGCTTGCGTCTCTTTGCCACCTTGGCTTTAGGCCTGGGGATTTCGACCAATTTGCTGTTTACACGCGGTCCAGCCTGGTCGAGCAGAGTACTCCGGTGAGTATCAGCTTCTCAGACACTAGCGCCTATGTCGAGCCAAAGCTGCAGATGGAGATTCAACATGATCAACATGATTCAACCATGTTCAACCAGAACCCTTGAGAACATTTGTGGACAACTTTGGAACGTTTTTCGTGCATGGTGCTCTTGGAGGGATAGATCCAGGCTTGTACACATCAACCATCTTAATATGTTCACATAAACATATATTATAGTTATATATTTGCTTTTATTTGCCCATGAGCCTTTGAGACTTGGTTCGCTACAAGGAGAACCTGACATTTCCAGATCTCGACCTTGATGCCAGCGACCTTGGGGGTACCCTCAGCTGGGAGGATTCACGGTGAGTGACGTGATGGTGACACGATGGCAAGATGGAGTGACCGAGTAGTGACAGAGTGATATGGCCATAGCTGAAAGCTGCTGAAAGTCTTTCAGGAGCCCACGGACTCCTCTTCGATTAGCCACTACGAGGCCAAGAAGTTCATACAAGTTCCAGAAGTCTAATTGAAACAACTTCAATTGGTTAATTTTAAATGATTATAATTTGGATTCATCAGACTTCTGTTGCCAACTCTTCGACATCAAACAGTGCAGGTCTATGTTGCCAGAACATTGGCAGACATCAGTCCAGCTGCCGTGGTTCTTCTTTGTAGCCCAGAGGAGTTGCAGGAGGGGCAAGACACCAGTGTATGCATTGTTGTTTGTCCTGCTGTTTGGTGTCGCTCTTGTCGGTTGGTCAACCCATGTTAGCCGCATGCTTGGCAAAAAGTCGAGCTATTTCTCATTATATATTTCTCAGTATTGTTTGATGCACCGAGAAAGTGTCCACAAGGAGCTGCAAGCTGTGATCAGTGGAAGTATGTGACGAGCTGAGCTGACCAAACAGTTTAGTTTAGACGATTCTGAAGCGATTCACAGATGCAGACATTTAGCATGTTCTGAAGAGAAGACCTTGCTTTAGTTGTAACTTGTAATGTGCGTGATCGTGTGTGATATGCGTGAACCATTGACACCATGAAGCAGCGAAATTACAACATACAACAGGCTGTCTCTAACATGCGCACATTTAGGAAATCGCATTGAAAAGGCCCTGACGGGTCAAACTCGGCCCTTGATAGCATCCTGTCAAGTGCTTGAGGTCCATGCTGATGGATGGCGTCACACGCTATCAGGTGGATGCTGCCGTGAGGCTCACCAGACACAGCCAGATTCTTCTGGGTTGGGGGTTGCTGACAGTTGAACAGTGAAAAACACCGTGCGAGTAGCTCAGTGACCGAATGGAGAGCATCGTATGCACTTCCCCCTGAGCGTCGTATGCAAACCCTGACCCCGAACTGCTTTTCAGGACCACTCTGCTGTTGGCCCTGAATCTTGCCGATGAAGAGTTGGTGACGACAGTGCCCTGGCAAGCATACAGGGAAGCTGACTCTTGGCGAATTAGCTTAGAGAGGCACTTTCTTACTTACAGGGCAGTGTACAGTGTAAGAAGTCTGAAGGTCTGCCATCATGCATGCCCTCCTGTTTGATGTTTCCTGGGTTACAGATGACTGAGAACTTGGTGCGGAGAGCCGTTCGACCTCAAACTCTGCGCTGAATGAGGTTGCTTCGACTGTGCGGCGCTTGCAAAGCCCGACGCGTTCGCGGCAATTGGCCATGACCTGGACGGCCCCTTGGTTTGGACGCCGTGGGGATCCTGGAAATCCTCCCGAGGCCAGAGAAGCCTGTGAAGTACTCTATCAGGTGGAGGAAAGACGTCTTTGGTGGACGTTGCCTTGGAAGATTAACTCCACTCTCACTAAAACTAGAGCTGCAGCCATATGGATGCCTTTTGTGATTCGGATTCATTCCTCTCGCAAGCTTGTGACAGCTAGCGGGACTCAATCAGAATGTAACCGAAACAACCTGCGATCCACAAATGACTGGACTGCTACCATTTTTTCATTCATCACTCTTCGAAGACTTGAGAAGGTTCACTGGCTCATAGAGAGGTCAGGTGAAGACGCAGCAAAGGACTTTGACAAGATACTTTAACAAGAAGCTAGTAGTAACCAGTGCATCGCTACTAGTAACAAGGGAATTACTACTAGTAATAAGACGCTACTGGTAGCTATTTGCAACTAGTAGGAATGCACTTGTTGCTAGTAGCGATGCACTTGCTACTAGTAGCGATTCACTCTGCCAATATTTCACATTCCTTTCTCCACTGTCTCATAGTTAGCTGGCCACATCAATTCTTGAATTCATGAAGAGTTGTCGAGGTCATGTACACTGCGACGATCGCGCTGGATGTGGCAGATGCCACACACGCTGTGCTGCAAAGCTATAGCCAACAGCCAGAGACATTTCAGGCCATGGAAAAGCGCGAGCAGATGGTGACTGACGCAGCACCACACAGCTATGGGCCGTATTCAATCGTACTCATCCGCATTCTATATTTTGCGGGTGCATGTCATGATTGCATTTTGTGATTGCAAGGCCTGAAGTCACAGAGCCAAAAAAGATTTCGTTCCACACCATGAATGTTTCTGGGCCTCTTACTTTCACCATGCTTCACCCTTGCTATCCCTTACTCATTCCACTCCTGTTTTTGTGCCTCGATCAGTGCCTCTCAGTCTTTTGGAGGTGCTGTTGACATCCAGCTTCACAGACATGGGCATCGACGCAAGCTCGCTGACATTGCAAAGCTTCGAACCCCCCATAATGCAGGCTGGAGACAGGAGACTTGTGAGTCGAGAGGTCCATGACACAGCAAAGCAAACTAATGCCCTCCAACCTATAGTAGCGATGGCCTCCCACCTGATAGCGATGGCCTCCAAACCAATCTCCTGGAGCCACGTCCTTGCCTTTTACATCCTTTTACCATTGAGCGACGACCCGTTGTCTTTCCAGGTGATCGAGAAGTCTGACGACTCGCAGGCCATAATGGTCGATCAATGGCATGAAACGACTGTATGTATACTACTTGTACTGCGAAACAGAGATTCGAGAACCTGGAACCCTGCACACTTACCAGAGAATATGAATAGAGGCATAGAGAGGCATGGACAGAAAGTGACAGAGTGGAGTGGTCTCGAAGTTCACTTGACTCAGAGAGTTGCTTTTCCAGCACGTAGTTGGAGGCCATCGCTAGTAGGATGGAGGCCATCGCTATTTGGTTGGAGGCCATCGCTAGCTAGTAGGTTCCTTTTGCTAGTAGGTTGGAATTCTAGTAGTTGAGACATGTTTGGAGGCATCCAATGCAACAAATGCTACTTGGCTTTGAGACCGCCAACGGCCGGAGTATCTAGTGCCGAATCATAAGTAATGGATGTTTTGATATTGATTGGACATGTCTCACAATGGGGATCCCTGCTACTTTCCATCCCTTTCATTAGACCAGGTGCTAGATTATAAGGTTTGTATGGGTTTGTTGTCCTTTTTTGTAATATGATGATCTGATCATGTCAGAGTTTCATGTGAAGCGATGACACCTGCACTTTGCCCAGGGATATGTTTGCAGAATGCTCTACAACTTGTCCACACACTAAGGCCGACACTTCCGACGACCTGCAGGCCTGTTTTCATTGTTGTTTTTAGAGCCATCAGATTTACTGTAGAAGAATTCATACTGAAGTACGATGATTGTTCTGCAAACATTTTAAACACGGGTTGGCATTCCAAACTCTGCAGATGCTGTTCAGTACTTTCGTACCAGAAAGTAGAGGCATGGAAAGGGTTTGGAGACATACAGAATTGAGACGTGTTGAGACTGGCTGATTTGTGCTGTCTTCGAAGGCATCCAATCTCACAAATGCTCCTTGGCAGAGACTTGCACACATACTCTCTGTTGTTTTCTAGAACTTGAATTGCAGTTGTTCATGGTGATCATATCCTTGCTGATGTAGGTCCAGGTCAGGTTGGATCGCTGTCACAAGTATCTACTGGTTGTTTTTTTGTGGTTGCAGCCAACCAGCAATAAAGCAGACTACGCCACGCTGCAAAGCCAGCTGTGCTTGAGAGGTGAGACGTTTGTCATCTATGAACCAGAGCCAGGCAGCAGATGAACTTTGTTCAGCGAGTCGTATTTGGAATTAGCTGACAGCTGATCAAGAGTGAATGAAAGGGTCCGTCATTGAAACTCCTTAAACACTCTTGGCACGAGAGGATTCAGATGCTACAAGCAGAAATGTGACCTATGGAGTTGGGAATATGAGCTTCAACTGCGTTTTGTTGGTTGGAGTCTTGAGAATGTGATCAGATAAGATTCGAGATTCTTTTGTTCCTTTAGAAGCTGAGGACCCGTTGTGGAAATGGGTTCTACATGACCTACTTGGGGACTTCCCTTGCTGGTGAACCTTCCTTCAAGGCCTGTGCATGTCCGGGCACGACTTGGGGGTAGTCATGTCGCTTCGTGATGGAACCCCACAGCAGAGGGCCTCCAACCTACTAGCCTTCTTGTTACTAGTAGCGATGCCAGGAGCCACTAGTAGCGTCCTTGCTCCTAGTAGTAAGGCCAGGAGCCCCTAGTATATAACTAGTAGCTTTTTGTTCCTGAAAGAGAAGCAGTCAATATGACATGTATTGAGTAGAGTTACTACATCCACATCGCTGAGAGTTACTAATACTAGCCTCAATATACTTACTGTAGCAACTCTTCTCAATATGACATGATACGACATGTAAATAATGATTCCTTGTGACATTATAAACGAAGGTCCACCAAGAGAACACAAGAGTACTATACAGTTATATACAAGGAAGTATTATTGGGTAGGTGCAGGTTGATCCATTCATTGTGTCAGCCACTGTGACAACAATCCATCCACCAAGCTATGAAAAGGGGTCAACACATTGGCATCCAGTACGGCATTGATTTATTGGACATATGGATAGTCTTGTGTTGGCCGCCGACTTGTATTATATTTCCCCCACAAATTCACCCATAACGATACATATACTCACGAAGTGCCCAGGATGCACCTGATTGAAACTCCAAAAGACAACATGATGTAAGAGATGTTAGGCAATGTTAAAACATTCCTTGAACCACGAACCCATCAAGCATGTTAAAAAGGGTGCACTGGTGCACTAAGGCTTCCCCAACTAAGACCTGCAACGCATGCCTAGGGCCTAGATTAATTCTACATTAACTTCTTAGGCTTGGATTTTTTGGGGATATGAGCCTGATGTTTCGGTTCTCAGTAAAACCAGCAGCTGAGTTTTCGCATTTCAGAGTTCGTGGCAGGCAAAGATTTCTCAAGCTGCAAGCTATTTTTTTGTGCCTTCTTACACTGCTTGGCAGACAGGTAATTCCCGACTTTGCTCTCGGCAATTGGACACATTTCCTGATCTTTAGTGCTTCAAGCTTTGCTGAAGCATCTGTGCCAGCTTCACATTTGATGCCCGGCTGAACCCTTGTCATAAGCATGTGCATGTGTGTGTGTGCCTGACCGTACTTGCTTTCTCAAGGACAAGCTCAAAGCAAAACGTAGCAAAACACTGACATGCAACGACTGTTTGGCTTTATTTGCGAATGAGGATCTATGATATGTCTGCAAGCGTTTCTGATGTGCGCTATGACGGCCTGGACCGGCTTTCCACCTTTGTCTGCGCGAGCACTAAAGAGTTCGTTGTTCGTGGAAACACCAAGACAAATAAGACATTCTTCAGACCCAAACCGAGACGAAACCCAAACTTGGCAATGAACGTGCTGTGTAGGGGCTCCTGGCATCGCTACTAGGAGCAAGGACGCTACTAGGGGCTCCTGGCCTTACTACTAGGAGCAAGGACGCTACATGTTTTGAAGCACAGGGAGCACTGGAACGGCATTTTGCAGGACTTGGACATCGATGAACTGGGCGGAAATGTCTCTTGGCTGCCGCCCAACCTCACCGAAGCCGTCCGGACACCCAGCTCCGAGCGTAAGATGCGACCGGAATGACATGGAAAGGCGCAGATGCGACAATATGTCAACCTAATATCAATGCCCTCCAACCTACTAGCAAAAGGAACCAAACTAATAGCGATGGCCTCCAACCAAATTTCGATGGCCTCCAACCTAATAGCAAAAGGAACTAAACTGATAGCATGGCCTCCAACCTAATAGCGAGGGCCACCAACCTAGTAGCAATGGCCTCCAACCTAATAGCAAACGCCACCAAACTAATAGCGATGGCCTCAATCCTAAAAGCGATGGCCTCCAACCTAATAGCAATGGCCTCCAACCTAATAGCAAAAAGAGCCTAACTAATAGCCTATTAGCGATGGCCTCCAACCTAAAAGCGATGGCCTCCAACTAATAGCAATGTCCTCCAACCTAATAGCAAAAGGAACCAAACTAATAGCGATGGCCTGAAACCTAATAGCAATGGCCTCCAACCTAACTAATAGCAATGGCCTCCAACCTAATAGCGATGGCCTCCAACCAAATTTCGATGGCCTCCAACCTAATAGCAAAAGGAACCAAACTGATAGCATGGCCTCCAACCTAATAGCGAGGGCCACCAACCTAGTAGCAATGGCCTCCAACCTAATAGCAAACGCCACCAAACTAATAGCGATGGCCTCAAACCTAAAAGCGATGGCCTCCAACCTAATAGCAATGGCCTCCAACCTAATAGCAAAAAGAGCCTAACTAATAGCGATGGCCTCCAACCTAAAAGCGATGGTCTCCAACTAATAGCAATGTCCTCCAACCTAATGGCAAAAGGAACCAAACTAATAGCGATGGCCTCCAACCTAATAGCGATGGCCTCCAACTTAATAGCAATGGCCTCCAACCTAATAGCAAAACGAACTAAACTAATAGCGATGGCCTCCAACCTAATAGCGAGGGCCTCCAACCCAGTAGCAATGGCCTTCAACCGAATAGCAAAAAGAACCAAACTACCAGCGATAGCCTCCAACCTAATAGCGATGGCCTCCAACCTAGTAGCATTGGCCTCCAACCAAATAGCAAAAAGAACCACACTAATAGCGATGGCCTTGAACCTAATAGCGAGGAAGCAATGACCTCCAACCTATTAGCAAAAAGAACCTAGCTAATGCGATGGCCTCCAACCTAATAGCGAGGGAGGAATGGCCTCCAACCTGATAGCAAAAAGAACCACACTAATAGCGATGGCCTCCAACCTAATAGC